CTCGCTCCTCCCAACCCCCTTTATTCCAAGAGACACTCCTTTTCACCAGGAGACACACCTCTCCCCCAAGAACCTCCAACTCCCTAGATATGAGCCATACCTAACAATTCTCCACCGTGGCGAATATCCAACACTGTAGGAGATATGCATCACCCGGTATATGCGCCTACCAAACAAATCTCCACCTTAGTGAAGTGAATATTCAGCCTGCCTCTTTAGAAGAAAATCTCCATCTTGCGAATATCCAATCCTTTAGGAGAAAAAATCTCCACCTTGTGAATATCCTGCCTCTTAGGAAAAAAAATCTCATGGAGTCTCTTTATACCAAAGTGGGGTAGACAACCAAACCATCTAACCTGGCTTGGTCAAAGTTCCTGTTGCATTTTCACCATATGATTCAACAGAGCGATCTCCACCTGCAACTGTACTCCCTATCAGTTTATAGATGTTACCTACAGTGATCTTCCCTTTCATCACAGTCAGTGCACCCTTAACAATTCCGATGGTTTCCCTATCCTCATCTGCCTTAGGAATGAAACCATTTCTGTGTAGAGTGCCCAACGAAATCAAATTTTTCTTCAACTCTGGAATATGTCTGACATCACATAATGTTCTAACAGTATCATCATACATCTTAATTCTGACTTTACCAATACCAGCAATATTGCATCGTATATTATCACCCAAATAGATTGAACTAGAATCAGATAACCTGTATGAAGTAAACCACTCCCTGTTAGGTGTTATGTGATAAGAACATCCTGAATCAATAATCCATCCATCCTTTAACTGAGTTGTTGTAACTGAAAGCGCATCATCATCACTGTAATCTGTAATGTTACTCTGCACCATATTCACAGCCCTGGAAGATACATCACGAGTTTTCTTCTTGAGCATTGGACAATCTCTTTTCATATGTCCTTGTTCCTTGCACTTAAAGCAACGAATCTTCTTGGTTTTTAGGCTTTGACTTGGAACTTTGCCTTCCAGAATTCTCCTCCTCCTTACTTTCACGATCCTGATTACACTGAGCATATAAACAATTACCATGAGAGCATTCCTCTGCATTCTGCTTTCGCTGGTTGTGAGCCAACAATGCTGCAGTAATCTCATCAATTTTAATTGTTTCTTTCCCATATGTAAGAGTAGTCACCAGATGTTCATAAGAAGTAGGCAATGAACACAAAAGAATCATTGCTCGGTCTTCATCCTCAATATTCACATCAAGCCGTGCCAGATCCGTGATTATTTGATTGAAGACATTCAAGTGCTGAACCAAATCAGTGTCTGCCTGCATCTTCAGCCCATACCACCTTTACTTCAGATACAATTTATTCGTCAGAGATTTTAACATAAATTAAGTTTCCAATTTCTTCCATACATCCTCTGGAGATTTTAGATTCATCACGTGATACATAACTTCATCTGTCAGAATAAACATATAGTTGCTGCACCCTGCCGCTCGAAGTTGTAACTCTTCCCAATCTTCATGTTCCATATTATCAGGTTTCGTAACCCGCAAAGCCTTCAAATTTCCCTGTTGTGCTAACAAATCTTTTACCCTTGTTTGCCACAATCCGAAGTTCCCGGTTCCATCGAATTTCACTATCTCAAATTTTGCTCCAGACATTGCTATTTGAAATTTAATCCTACACCGTATTTTCTTGCCTTGCTTCGAAAAACAAAAGAAAATACTCCGCAAATAAATTCAAAGAAACCTGAAATTTTCCTTGTCAAATGCAGCAACTATCTCGCGATTCTCCTGTGATTCGTGAATCAAATTTTCCCACGAAGCACTTTTCCTGTTCGTACCAGTACCTCTGCCAATTGCTGTTTCCGCGAGCCACGAATCCCTTCGCACCTGTTCGAGGAATACCTCCACGAAACTCCTCCCCCCTGCCGACCCCCCCCTGTCGCAAAATCTCCTGCGACGAGCCAACGAATTTAACTGGTCGAATTCCTCAGATTTTTCGCAAAACAATGCTCCTTTTCGCGGTGGACAGTCTCTGGTTCCCGGACAGCCTCTGTTTCCCACGGATTGTTGAACCTGCCGAACTCCTCTGTTTCCTGAAACTGCACGATCTTCCTTGAACGAACCAGAGCCCTAGTCGCGAACTGACGCCGACGAACTTCGGATTACTGCTGTCGCGCCAAGTGCGACCTTCCGAGTACTGCTGCTGCGCCAACTGCCGCACGCTCCTCGGAAACCTTGCGGAAGAAGCCCGATGCTATCGCGAGCCTGACGCGATATTCCCTGTCGCGTGAAGCAGCGAATCCTCCTGCCCGAACGCGATGCCTCTGCGAATTCGAAAATTTGGCTGCAGCGAACCTCGCTGAATGCCCGGATTAGCCGATTCTCGTGATGTCAAATCGTCGAAGCCCGTCAGCGAACCGTCGTGCCCTTCGCGTGACAACTGCCGCACGCCAATTACTCCGTTCCTCTGCACCGAAGAAGGTTGCCTGGGCGAACTCCTTTCGCGATCCTTCGCTCAAATGCCGAGCGAATCCTTCGTCCCAGGCCCGACGAATCCTTCTTCTCTTCCTGCGTCGATCTCCTCCTATTCCCCTCGAAAGAGGCTTTGATACCAATCGTTGTGAGAATTGCAGCGGAAGAAAAAAACAGGAATCGACACAAATCCAGAAGAAGAACACAGAGATTTAACGAGGTTCGGCAAGGAATTGCCTACGTCCTCAGGAGCGTGCGACGGTTTCACTATTTCAGAGAAGTTACAATACATCCCATAGGGTTACACATATATATAGACATATACAAACCCTCAGATAAAATTACAATCACGCCCTCGCTCCTCCCAATCCCCTTTATTCCAAGAGACACACCTTTTCACTAGGAGACACCTCTTCACTAAGAAACTCCAACTCCCTAGATATGAGCCATACGTAACAGTACATAATAGTGAGTCTATGTGATATTTTCTTCCTACATACTGCGGAGGCACTTTTTTCCTTCAATCCCCCAATCAACTTTAAAGGTTGTATCTTTTCCTATATTCTCTTCCTGGTATATAATAGATCCTAGATATTTAAATTTATAATTATTATATTATTTTCTTCGAATATTTTTAATTTTTAATTTCACACCATTAAAACTGCATATCGTGTATTCAATTGTTTTTTAATTAATTATATGGCCTCTAACTTCTAAACATTTTTTCCTATTGTTTTTTTTATACTTTCATTTATTTCCTGTGGAAGTGATATGGTTCTCTGCTGTACATTTTTAATTTTCTTTTCTCTGTTTTACATACAACTGCCTGTATAAAATTTAGTTCTTTTTTTAATGTCCATTTTATAAGCTTGGCACAGGGGATTATCTGTTTTGGAGTGTGTCATATGTTTTGGCAGTAGGGCTTGTCAGATTTGAAGTTTTTGCTTATATAACTTTCGTTTGCTGTGGCTTTATACAGTCATAATTCTGTTTGTAAACTGGATGGAATAGTTGTTGAATAAAATTTCTGAGAAACCATCTTCTCCATTTCTCTGTATCCTTAGTTGTGGGTTTAGGGTGGTGGTTGAGGGTCTTCTACTGAAGTCCCTGACTTTGCCAAGATTGACAGGTCTTCAACTGGGAGCTTCTATTCTACAGGGTTTGTGTTCTCATGGTTGAAGTTGTTTAGCCACATTTTGGATTCTTGGCCAAGTATTGTGATAGGAACAAGACGAGTTTTCATAGAGATTAGGACAAAATAAAATATTCTTAATTCACCAACACAAAATAACACAACTCAAATACATAAAAGATAAACATTTGCAATTTGAGAGATAGGCGATCTCTCCCAAAACCTAAACCTAACCCTAAGATTCAATACGACAATCACACCTCCTAACACTAATCATATTAAACCCTATTTATACCAAACAATAATAACTAACAAATGACTAAATTGCCCCTTTAGCCTTACACCTAAAATAAGCTTTAAAATTATTTGGAGGGTTTGTGTGGTGGAAAGCGTCGTAGGTGCGGTACCCTCCCAATAAGACATTTTTTCTTCAAGATGGAAAAGAGGAAACCTATGTTGGATCA